GTGGAGGATGGCCCAGGTCATTGGGCCCTGCACCCGCATGGAAAACCAGGAGGAAGCACCTGGCTCCTGGCTTCGGATCACTGGCAGTAGTGGCCACTTGGGGGGTGAACCAACTGCAAAGGAAGACCTTTCTCTCTGTCTCTCTCTCTCTCTCACTGTCTAACTCTGCCTGTCAAAAAAAAAAAAAATATTGCAGAGCAATCCTTAGTGAGGGCCCTGGGAGCTGGATAGTCTTAGATGTACTCTTATATGTATGATACTGGATATTCTTATATGCATGTTTTAGGTTTATAATCTTGAAAACACCAAAAATTAATTTCAGGGATACTTAAAACCCTAGAGAACATCTACTTGAATAAATGAACATTTGTTTTTCAGCTCTAAATTGTGATTCTCTTGAAGGGCAACCTAGTGCCACTGTTGTTCCCCTCTCTATCCCAAGGCAAGATGACCCCCAGGAAGCCAGGGGCTGAAGAGGAAGGATACAGCCACCAGCTGACTGAGCTGTGCCTACAGGAGGAAAATGCAGGAAGAGGTGCCCCAGTGGTGGGGTCCTCAGAGACCCCACAGAGTGTCCCTAGGAGACCGAGTCACACTTGAGCACCTGACACACAGGTGGGCTGTGTTCAGTTGCAAACCCAACAGCCAAATCTGAATGTAACCACTAACACCACATCCCTCCAACCTCTCTCCTCCCCTGGGGGCCTTATTCTGAGAACCCTTATTCAAGGGTTTTTATTCAGCTACTTGGGGAACACATATTCCCCCATTCCTCAAGTTTCCATGTGGATGATTTTCTTTGCAGTGGATTGTCTCTTTCTTCCTCTGATGGATAAAATTGGAAGAAAGGACCTGTCACATTCAAACAGTCTCTCTCTGAAATCTGCCTACAGAGAGATTCTGTTTCTGCTATCCCACAGGCTTAGGGAGATAGGCTCTATCCTTGGAGGAATGATTTGTTGTTTTTTGGGATAAGCATGGCCTGATCAGGGAGGAAATACTAGCAAACTCACATGGTTGAGCTATTTGGTTTTTTTTTTTTCCCCCAAGATTGTTATGTTTTCAGCAGAATCGATTTCCCCTACCTTGTTTACCTAGAGCTAGATTCAACAATTATCCCAACCAACTCTACATCACATTAGCCCACAGGACTGGGCTCCACGCAAGCAAAGTGAGTTGAATTTATGTGCACCATTCCAGAAGTGGCACATCAGACCCTCGCATGTATACCTCTATTTCCCCAGGCTACTGGCCAGATACACAGACTTCAGCAGAAGACCTGGAAGTTGGAGGGGACAATGAAGCCACATTACATAAAGCCACTGAGTAACGTGCTGAAGGCCACCTGCCAGGCTGGAACATCCTTACTGAACTTCCCATGGTAAGAAATGATCTATCCAAAGAGCTTTTATCAGTTATAAAGCTGAATAGCTGAATCCTTGTCTCTCTCTCAATTTTCTGTAATCCTGGAAGCAGAAAGAGGATGTTTTTTGATTGCTTTAACCTACACAGATTGTAAAGTTGCCTTGAGTAGGATGTGGGACCCACAAGAGGGTACCAACAGGGCCATTTGTTGGGCTTCATATCTCAGAGTGCTCCAAAGTTTGGCTAAAGTTCAATGTCACCTGTGTCTAGGCAACAGAGCACAGTCATCTCAATGCAAACGTGGCATTTCTTTTAATTTCCCCTTGAATTATACTCCAACAAACTTTTCTGTGAACCATATTAAAAATAATTGTAGAGTTTGTTGCAAGTCATTCCTAAGTTTTTCCCAGGAGCAGTCCAGTTTTATACATAAGAGGGCCTAGGTTATGCTTTAAGTACAGTTCAGTAATGTTATATGATCATACACATATGCTTATGCTCTTGTCTCAAAGAATGCAACAACAATTCCTTGCATGGTGAAGGCAATGCTTCCTAAATTAGGCAAAAAATAATTCTTTTTGTGAACATTTTTTTGGGGGTAAAAATGTTGAAAAGGTGTCAATTTGTATAAAAACTGCTTTTCCTGCAGACATTTGTACTCTCCCCCCAGGAGAACAGGGTCAAAGGCTATATATTTCAATCCATAATCTAATGCAAATTTTGAAATTACTTTGACTTAGTCAACAGGACCACTCTTGCTTCTAATTCATTAAACATGCATCCATCCCTAAGTAATACTAGAAGCTGTTCTTGGTTAGATCACTTCTTCACTTTCTGAACCTTAGAATGAGTTGATCAGGAAAGTCTTGTTTTTCTCCCTGATGTAACACAAAAAGGAGCCAATGGAAACTGATTATGTAGGGGCTGGTGCTGTGGTGCAGTAGCTTAATCCTCTGCCTGTGGCGCTGGTATCCCATAAGGGTTCCAATTCTAGTCCCAGCTGCTCCTCTTCTGATCCAGCTCTCTGTTGTGGTCTGGGAAAGCAGTAGAAGATGGCCCAAGTGCTTGGTCCCCTGCACCCGCATGGGAGACCTGGAAGAAGCACCTGGCTCCTGCCTTCAAATCAGTGCAGCTCTGGCAGTTGCAGCCATTTGGGGAGTGAACCAACAGACGGAAGACCTTCTTCTGTCTCTCCCTCTCACTGTTTGTAACTCTACCTCTGAAACAAATAAAAAAGAAAAGAAAAGGAAAGAAAAGAAAAGAAAAGAAAAGAAAAGAAAAGAAAAGAAAACTGATTATGTCCAAATGAGCAGTAAATAAAAGGCAATGGGGCCCTGAACTCTTTTGAATACCAGGCATATACTAAGGTACCTGTGTTTGAAGCTGTATTCATCCTGACACAATGATACTCTGAGATAAAACGACTACTCTCAAAATCTTCACAAGATACAAATGTTGAGAACCTGAAGTACGAAAGAACCTGAGCACTGGATTTTCTGTAAGATGCAATCATCCAAGTAAGCCTTGACTCCTGAGAGATTCCTATCATGAGTGACTAGATGGTCTGTGCATGGACTTTTATTTTTTATCTATACAACCTAAAATTGGATTTTCCTTTTTTTCTCTGTAATATCTGGCTCGAAAGCCTATTCAACTTGACAAATTCATGCCAAATAAACCAAGAGTTTAAATAGCCTGTAAATCACCAGATAGCCCATAGATGTTACTTTGTGAAAAGAGGTCAACTACACTGTTCACACAAACACACACATGTGCATGGACATGTTAATTGAAAATGATCTATGTATGTTTTTTTCATATAACCTGTTGAGTTCATTTTTTAATATAAAAACCTTCTTTTTGATATCTTCATATTTCTTTACATTCTGCCTCACATCAAGCCAGGCTTCATAACATTCTTATTTTATTAGTTTTAATCATATTCATGTTAGATAAAAGCAGTTCTAAATTAATTGTGTTTATTACTTCATGGGCCAAGGTTTGTTTTCTTTTTGTCACCTTAACAATATTTTCTAATGATTTAAATTCTATATAGCTTTATTTGCCACTTAAAACACTTGTGGTGGGCATTTGGTACGGCAGTTAAAGGTCACTTGGGACATCCTAATCTCATATCAATGTATATGGGTTCTAGTCAACTTCCACTTCCAATTCCAGCTTCTTGTTGAAATGCACCCTGAGAAGCAACAGGTGTTGGGTTCCTGAAGCTCATTAGGGAGACAAGAATTGAGTTCAAGGCTCCCAGGTATTTGAAGTGTGAAACAGTAGATAGACGCTCACTCACTCACTTGCTGGCTCTCTCTTTCTCACTCTTTCTTTCTCAAACAAAAAAGAAACAGAAACAAAAACAAAACCCCTGGGGCCTGTGCTATTGGCATAGTAGGCTGAGCCTCCACCAGTGACACTGGCATCCTATATGGGTGCCAGTTCCTGTCCTGGCTACTCCTCTTGCAATCCAACTCTCTGTTATGGCCTGGGAAAGCAGCAGAAGATGGCCCAGGTGTTTGGGCCTCTGCACCCACGTGGGAGACCCAGAAGAAGCTCCTGGCTCCTGGCTTTAGATTGGCCCAGCTCTGGCCATTGCAGTCATTTGGGACATGAACCAGCGAATGAAAGACCTTTCTCTCAATCTTTCCCTCTGTCTGTCTCAAATAAATAAATAAATAAATATCTTTAAAAACAAAAACCCTTACATAATAAACCTAATTTATGTAAAGTTCAGGAAATAACTTATTCAATTATGAATACACAAGAATTGAAATATTATGGTTAGATTAAAATTTTAAATCCTTGTTTTCCTTTTTTTCCACAATTACTCAAATGTTTCTCAACATGATGACACATGAGGAGCACCTGAGGTGCTTTTAAGATCATCACTGCAGGCCAGCTCCATTGCTCACTTGGCTAATCCTCTGCCTGCGGCGCCGGCACCCCGGGTTCTAGTCCCAGTTGGGGCGCCGGATTCTGTCCCAGTTGCCCCTCTTCCAGCCTAGCTCTCTGCTGTGGCCCGGGAGAGCAGTGTAGAATGGCCCAATTGCTTGGGCCCTGCACCCGCATGGGAGCCCAGGAGGAAGCACCTGGCTCCTGGCTTGTAGCTGCCTGTAGCGGCCATTGGGGGGTGAACCAATGGAAAGAAGACCTTTCTCTCTGTCTTTCTCTCTCTCACTATCTATGACTATTTGACTACCTGTTAAATAAAAAAAAAAAAAAAGATTACCACTGCATTGTGGTGCAATCGGTTAAGTTACCATTTGTGTCAACGGCATCCCCTATCAGAGTGCTGGTTAAAATACTGGCGACTCTGCTTCTGATGAGCTGCCTGCTAATGAGCCTGGGAAAGCAGTGGAAGATGGGCAAGCACTTAGGCTCCTACTACCCACATGGGAGACCAGGATGGAGCTGCTGTCTTCTGAGTTCAGCCTGGCCAAGCCATGGCTGTTAGAGTTATTCAGAGAGTAAACCAGCAGATGTAAGATCTCTGTCTCTCCTTCTCTCTGTTGCTCTGCCTTTCAAATAAGTAACCCTTAAAAAATGTGATTACCATTTCCAGCTCTACCCCAGACCAGCTGAACCCAAATCTCTGCAATATTACACAAATAAGCAAGCACACTAACCTTGCCAGGGCATCTAACATGCAGCCAGGGTTGAGAACGTTGCTTTATTCCAAAGCTTGAGATTCAGACATAAATGAAGTGTTTCAATAGCCATCCTTCCTGCAACCATCTTCACCAGCAAATCTGAGGAAGTGAGTCGAGAACTGGGAATTAGAGAGAAACTGACTCAAAATCTGAAAATGACCCAGATTTTGCTTTCTTATTCAGTATGAGAAAATACCTATATCTGACTATATAATTTTGAAAAATTCACAAGATCACTTCTTACAGTGAACTAGAGAGACACAAACACACACCATATGTACATGCATTCATGATCATATTTCTCTTCTTCTAAACAAGGATGTAGTAGCAGGTCCTGCTGAATATTTGCTTTAACAGCACAGAAATGTTTCCCACTGTAGATCGTTACTCATTTAAGGTCTTCATTTAAGGCCTGAGAAACAGGTGCAACACTAGAAGTGGTAGTAAGTTGTTGTAGTAATGGCATTGTTTACTCCGTGCTTACTGTGAAGAAGTCACTGACCCATGACCTTTACATAGGTAAAACGAAGCCTTTTTTGTAGGTACTCTTATTAGCTCCATTTTATATGCTCCACAGAAATAATTGTTGTTACATTTTAACACTTTCCTTTGAATTTTATAAAGGGGCAGTATGGAGACACTCATTTGAGCATGAGTATACTTTTGAAAAATGCAGTTAAAAACATTGCTTTTACAACACAATGATCGCAATAAATTTTTAGAAATTAATGAAATCAGTTATCCAACAGCATACATATCTTTTTTTTAAGATTTATATTATTTATTTGAAAGACAGAGTTACAGAGAGAGGTAGACACACAGAGAGAGGTCTTCCATCTGCTGGTTCACTACCCAGGTGGCCACCATGGCCAGAGCTGCGCTGATCTGAAGCCAAGAGCCAGGAGCTTCCTCCGGGTCTCCCATGTGGGTGCAGGGGCCCAAGCACTTGGGCCATCTTCCACTGCTATCCCAGGCCAAAGCAGAGAGCTGGATCGGAAGAGGAGCAGCCTGGACTAGAACGGACACCCATATGGGTGCTGGCACTTCAGGCCAGGGCTTTAACCCACTGTGCCACAGCACCAGCCCCCAGAATATATATCTGAAGACAAATCATCTTCACTATTTGGTCAGACAAGAAAACCCTGTTTAATTCACTATTTTCCCCTTCATGTCATATTGGGAAATTCTGACCATGTTTAGCACTCAAGAGTAATGATTAATACATTGTGCTGTTCACATTTTTCCTTCTATTTCTTTTGATTGGTTTCGTTTCTTTCACACATTCAACAGGGCTATTTTGCATTACATTTTGTTTTATAAATCTACAGTAATTGCTTTTCTGGAATAGGTACAAAACAAATTTGAAGTAAATACCCTAAATGACCAGAGTTGTTTTTCAATCTTGACCTTAAGGAAATTTCCATACATAAAGTTCCAATCAGAGGCTGTGCTGCTCCTTTTCCTGCACAATCTCTCCAATAATTATAAATATTCTATTATAATATTTAAATGCTTAGCTAAACTCATAATTTTTGTTACTGGTGTTGCCTTGATTCATTTAATTAGCTTACCTACTCCTGCTTACTTTATCTCTCTTCTCTTCCCTCCCTCCCTCCCTCTCTCCCCCCTTCCTTCCTTCCTTCCTTCCTTCCTTCCTTCCTTCCTTCCTTCCTTCCTTCCTCCCATATGAATTTACTGAGAATATACTATTCTAAGTGTTAATATAGATAGGACCCTGCTCTCTTGACACTTAGGTTTAGTACTAAGGAAAGAACTGCATAACTCTGTAAAAATATTTTCTAAAATAAGGAAATCTTCTTCTCCTATATGTCCTCTGATAAACTACACAGCTAGATAGGTAAAGGTAGCCACAGAGGAAGAGAGAGGAACAGAGAGAGATTAGCCCATCTTCAACTTTTCTCACTGAGGCATCACCTCTGTCCTGAATGTTCTGCTGCCTAGGAACTTTCATGTGCCTACAAATTATGAATGAACATCAAATAGCAAATGGAACTCGTCAGTCACAAAGTCTGATTTGGAGGGAATTCTCTTGCATAGAATCATGTTCATCCCCCAGATAACGGGATGGCACTGGTCAAAAACAAAGAATCTCTGAGAACCAGACTCCAAAGCAGGGCTGGGGAGTGTCCAATGTGTGGGGTGTTTAAGGTCAGCAAAACCATTTGGTCTGGTCCTGCCACGGTAACCACAGGTGCAAATCAATATTCAATAAATCTATAGCAGGTTAATTTGGGGGTTGATAATTCTGTGTGGTCTGCAAATAATGTTATAAATATCCAAATGGCCCTTGTCAGAAAATAATAATAATTAAAAAAAAGTTTCCCTACCCCTGCTCCGAAGCAACTGAAGAGAACATGTAGACTTTGCTACTTGTAGAAAACTCCCACAAAGCACGGTTTTATCCATGTGCGCAGCTGCTGGCAAGTGGATTGTAGAGGCTTGTCTGAGATGTGCTGTGAGGATCAGAATTGTGTTTTTGAAATAATGGCTTTTCAGCAAATCCATTAAACTACAGATCACAAAGTCTTATCCGGTCAAATGATGGTTTCTGTTCCTAACAAAAGGATAAACCCTACCTATCCTTAAATGGTGAGAATTTTTGGTTTCTCTCCCACACACTTTATTTATCTTTTTTAAAGATTTATTTTATTTATTTGAAAGTCAGAGTTACAGAGAGAGGTAGAGACAGAAAGAGAGGTCTTCCATCCACTGGCTCACTCCCCAGATGGCTACAATGGCCAGAACTGCGCCAATCTGAAGCCAGGAGCTAGGAGCTTCCTCCGGGTCTCCCATGTGGGTGCAGGGGCCCAAGGACCCAGACCATTGTCCACCGCTATCCCAGGCCACAGCAGAGAGCTGGATCGAAGAGGAGCAGCCAGGACTAGAACCAGCGCCCATATGGGATGCTGGCACTTCAGGCCCGGGCTTTAATCCACTATGCCATAGCGCCATTATATCCCACACACTTTACGTTCCATTCTTTTCCCCTTCCCCCAAGGAACTTCTGCTAATTAATTTAAAAGACCAACAGACGTTTCTTATGATGCAGACTGCTGGGCACTGAGTATAGTAATCTGAACCCTAATTCCAATAAGCACACCCAAGTGTCAGATAGCATGAAAAGCAAGTAGAAAGGGATAGAGGTAAAATAACAACATACTATAAACGCTCTCAGAGAAACATAGAAGAGGTGAGAAAGATAATTGGAATTTATTCTAGGGAGAGTGGCCAGGGGAAGCACCTCTGAGAAGGTATCCTATAAAGGAAGAGGTATTATCCCTGCAGGGGTGAGTATACAAGTATTCCTATGCAGAGAATGTCATGTACGAAAGTCCAGAAAACAAGAGAACCAGAGCTTGCTGCATTTGGGGACCTAAAAGAAAGCCATTGTGCCTGAGGTCATGAGAGAAAGGTTATCAGAAAAAACAGGCAGGACAGACCATGAAAGTCATGGACTCATTTAATGACATTAGACTTAGAATTTCATTTTAATTTCTGTGGGGGAACTCACTGCTGGACGAGACCCTTAGTTCAGTTAGAAGGCTACCATATTCATCATTGTTTGTTTAATTATTTATTTTCATCTACTTGAATGGTAGGGGCTAGATGGGGAGTGGGTAGGGAGAGTGAGATCTCCTATCTACTGGTTCACTCCCCAAATACCGACAACAGTTAGGGCTGCGCTAAGCTGAAGCCAGGAGCCTGGAACTCCATCCACGTCTCCCACATGAGTGGCAGAGGCACAGCTGAAGCCATCATCTTCTGCCTCCAAGGATGCATTAGCAGGAAGCTGGATCAGAAGCAGAGGTGCCAGGACTTAAACCACCATTCCAGTAGGAGATGCAGGTACTCCAAGCAATGACTTAACTCACTGCACCACAATACTCACCCCTACTGTATTCGTATTGATGTGAGGTCAGTGTTCTGGATGAAGGAGGTAATGGGGAGATGGAGAAGAGAGGAAGTTTGAGGTTTATTATTAAGATTGAATTAACACACCTGAGTGATGGGTTAGATATCTGGGAGTAGGGCAGAGAACAGTGAGGGAAGGGGGAGAATCATGAAGGACCCTTAGCTTGAGGACCTGGGTAAGTGGCGGTGGAGAGGTAGCACTTACCATATGAAAAAGAATGGCATGGGGAGAATGTTCAGTGTGTCAGATACTCATTTTATGATACACATAAGTCAACAATATGAATATGTAAATTAAACAACTGGATATGTGAGTCCCAGGCTCAGAGAAAATAAATTAAATTGCATTAGTTTATTTATTTTTATTTTTTTATTTTTTTGACAGGCAGAGTGGACAGTGAGAGAGAGAGACAGAGAGAAAGGTCTTCCTTTTGCCGTTGGTTCACCCTCCAACGGCCACTGCGGCCGGCGCGCTGCAGCCGGCACACCACGCTGATCTGATGGCAGGAGCCAGGTACTTATCTTGGTCTCCCATGGGGTGCAGGGCCCAAGCACCTGGGCCATCCTCCACTGCACTCCCTGGCCACAGCAGAGAGCTGGCCTGGAAGAGGGGCAACCGGGACAGAATCCAGCGCCCCGACTGGGACTAGAACCCGGTGTGCCGGCACCGCAAGGCGGAGGATTAGCCTAGTGAGCCGCGGCGCCGGCCAATTGCATTAGTTTAAAGATGACTAAAGCTGAGAGATATCACCTAAGTAGAATATAAAATGAAGAAAAGTGGCCACAAACAATCCTTAGGTGGAAAGCCCAAAGAAACCCCAACATTTACCTGTTAGACTAAGCAGTCAAAACAGTAATGCTGAAGGAAGTCGGGAGAAGAGAGTGGTTCAAGGAGGAGGCCATGCTTAACCTAGCTGAGCATTGCTGAGAAGTTCTGTGACAGGAGGAAAGAAATGTTTGCATTGGTTCTAGCACAGTGGTGATCACTGGTGACCACAGAAGTTTCAGTGAGTCTGGGCAAAAGCCAGAATATCCTGGGTGGACTGAACAGAATTACAACTACTGTAACAGTTCCAAAAATTTTCCTGTAAAAAGGAAGAAAAGGGGCTGGTGCTGTGGCATAATAGGCTAAGCCTCCACCTGCGGTGCCGTCATCCCATATGGGT